TTTATCTTTGCCAGGAGATTTAAACTTTAAAAGCCTTGCCCTCATAATTTGCAAGTTAATTTATTTATAAAGAAAATATAAACGCTGCTTAAGCTAATTCAAATGAAATTAAAAGTAAAATAAGTAGCCAACCTTATCACTGTCTGTTACCTACTAAAGTGGTAAGGAAAGCATCAGACCAGCTACCTGAGAAACTAACGTTACGTTTCCCCACTTTAAAACGAAACAAACATGGTCGCTCACCCTGCTGATGAGCTCTCTTCACTGCCATCTAAGGCTCCAACATGTTTTCTTTTCAGGTGCTGCATCATAACAGTGGTGCTTCCGTGCCATGTTAATTTGTTTTTACAAAAGTTGCATGTTACAACTTTTTTTGCTTTACAAAGCGCAGGCTGTCTGCGAATTGAGACACAGCTTGCGTTTGCGGTATCAGTCAATAGAGCACTGGCTCGCTCTGCCGTATTTTTTTTTTCTTCCCGCGTTTCAATCAAGTGGCAGTGATGACGACGGCGGATGACGCATTAATCCCGCGACACAACTAATCAATGATGAAATTCGTGGCCAACGCTTTTAAAAGTCGATTTTTATTGATTTTATCGATTCGTTGTTGCAGCCTTAGTTTCATCTAATTAAAGGAATGCTGTTTTAGTTTTCTATGTGCACATTTTTTAAATTTACCTTAGACTAGGTAGCCTAAGCCTATAAAACCAATCAGGCCAAATTCATCTACTCTCACTCCCACCTGGAGGCCTCCTAAATGTGACCGTTCACCATAGATAAACCATCCATCCCAATTTACCAATCATTCAGTCACAGTAAGGGAAATCACAGGACAGGTCGGGCCGTTCTCCACCAGAAAACCCTACCTTCTATAAAAGGTATAAAAAACCGGGGTGACCCCAGGGAAATCCCACTCTTTGCCAATCTGACCAAGAAAACCCCGTTTTGAATCTGACAATTATCATTACCGACTACTTAAAGAACCTTTAAGCCAATCAGGTTCTGAGTCTTTCTACATCAGAGCAAAAGTGGCATAAAACTTGAGTTTGGTGGGTCTGGATCAAAATGTTTCCATAATTTTCATCAAAACAAAATCCAAAAAAATAAAAACATATAAATCACAATTAGGTAAAATCATGAATTATCCAGGTCCGAGTTAAAGGCAAATGATGGCCATCACTGTCGCTGATGAATTCTTTCAGTGTCTCTATCACTCATCAATCTAATTAATCAATCAGAGTCTCGTATGGCCTCCTCCACAGCCCCCTTTGGTGTCCATGCAGTTCAATGGCAGTATAGATGCTGAATCCACGTGGTGGTTCTCATAGAGTGTTCTCATCACAGTTCAACAATCCATTCCTCCGGGATCCTTCGACACACAAAGAGTGCAGTCAGTGTTCTTATCAGAATAAGCAGTGTCTTTAAGAGCAATCCTTTATCTACTCAAAACCTAAGTGCAGTCACAACCAGATATTCTTATCCACAATTACTTTTAGTTTATCCCTTAAATCATTATTAAATTCAGTAAATTTAAATTAATTATCTGTAGACTGTGCGTTTATTTAGCAGATTGTTTCATAGTCTAAAAAAAAAATTATACGCTCAAAATTGCTGCAACTAATATAATCTCATTCAAGGAATCTGTAAATATTTAGAAAGCATTTAACCCTGTTTTACACATTGTAACATTCAATTCATGGATTACCCGAAGAAAAGTTTAAACCTAAATTTACATCACAGCGTATGAAGTTTTAGTTTTAGTTCCTCTGCACATGAGAAAGCGATTAAAGTTCTTTAATCTCTAAGAATAACCAGCTTGGTGAAGATTCCCCCTCTTTAAAACTCCCCTGTCAGACTCCGTGGCCTTGAGTGTTAGTGTATGAGAAAACATCCTTCCCCTGGGGGCCCCTGTGTGTCCTTCGATACCTCAACCATGTGTGTGTGTGTTAGGGAGTGAATCTATATGTGGAAAACTGGTCAGGAGCCATCCTGGTGCTGGTCTTGGAAGAGCAAGTATCTTGGAGCAGTGATCCTTCTCCAACATGTAAAACAGTTCAATGTCCATCAGGTTACCCTCTGTTACCACGGCAGCCTTGAAAATTAAGAGTCTTGGGGCCCAGGTGTCTCCACACCCCCTGAAGGATAAGTCTTTATTTGTGTCATCAGCAGTATCACACAGAGGTAAAAGGAAACGGA